TTAAATATATATTTTAAAAAAAAATATATATTAAATTTAAAGATAAATTATATAATAATTTAAAAATTTAAATAATATATTTATCAAAATTATTTTATTCACTATTAAAATATTATTAAAATTAAATAAAATAATTCCATCTAAATTATATAATTATTTTTTTTATTTAATATAAAACACTATTTAAATATATTTAATTTTAAAATAAAAAACATTAATTATAAATTTAAATTTATATATATATATATTTAAATTAAAAATAATATATAATAATTAATAATTTTTCAATTACCAAATTATATAAAAAATATTTTCATTTTTTTAACAATTTAAATAAATTAAATATAAATAAATTTGTTTATATATTTATTAAAATATTATGAATTTTTCTTAAAAAAATAAATATAATAAATTATTTATATATTTATTTTTGATTATTTTAATAATAAAATTAAATATAATTATATTTAATAATAAATATTAAATCACAATAATTATTCAACCTTCTGTGTTAGTGACCAATACATTTGTAGTATGCCGACTGATCATCAAGGAAGATTCTTGACTGGAGTTCTTTCTGCCTTATGGGGACGGGTTCCAAAACCAGGCCTGCCGTCAAAATGATCCTTTTGTTCTGCAATCGTGCGATGGTGTCACTTAATTACACATTGCACTGGCTGCAGGGGGTCAACAAGCAAAGGTGTTCCTGTCCTAATGGAATTTTGAGGCACCCCAAAGGCTCTAAGTTTCACAAAGACCATGAAAGAGCGAAGGTTGAAAAGGAGAGAACCTGTCAAAGCTGCTTTCAAAGCTCTCAAAGATCCATGCTGGAACGACTCCTGGGAAAATTGTATAAATTTGGCAGAGTTGGATTGCAGGTCCCTAGTGAAGTGAGCATGGCGCACCCTGCAGCTCTTTATAATGTGAGAAGGCGCCCAAGCGCCGACCGGAGGAGCGCTTGCTACCAGACTTTGGGCGGTCTTTACTCTCGAGGCCGCGTCTCTGGATGACAGACAATCATGTGTGGATGCCTATCTGAATGGTATGTTGGTGCCTGTACGATTCATCAAGGACGGTTTTCTGAATCTTCAGGTATGAACTTGTCATTACTACATCGCTAACTGATTCCGGCAACTGCTTGAAATGGTCAAATCTTCGGCTCTGTCAATCCAGAGAATCCAGAGTCTCAGTGCCAAATTCCTACCCTGCTGCTTGGGATATCCACAAGCGATGGCTGGATGTGAGCGTGCGGGAAATATGGCCGTGCGCAGCTACCTATTGATCCTGACCATTGGTCTCTGAAGTGCTTTCCAACTTTCAGGTTCCCCAAATTGAGGTAGAAGCTATGAGTTGATGCACAATCACACAAATAAGTTTCTAAGCCTTGAGGTCCTCCAAAGAATTCCCAATGCCCACAATTGCTTCCAGTTGCTTGGCTTCTCTGGCGATTCCTTGGTGTAGCTAGTCGGGTCCACAAGTCTTTTGAAGCAATGATTTCCTTCACTGCAACTATTTGTTCTGCTGGGTATGTGGAGAAAGCAATCATGTGCATGTGACCCCAGCAGACACCCTCTGATCAAAGGAAGAAAGGAAACAAGTCTTCATCAAATTGCCACTCTTTGCATGTAAAATCCGCCAATGCCATGCTTAGCCGAGCTTCAGGATCAAGTTTCTTCACAGTATTCTCGCATGCCTCCAAGAGCTTCTCCAACCCAGCCTCCTGCAGTGCCTGTCGCACCAAAGACCCTATAAATCTATGAATGAACAGCAAACCAATGCTCTCTTCAACTGCAAAAGAATTGTGCCAACTGTATCAACGGACTCTTGCGTCTGAATAGAGAAGCGGATGTGGGAGTATTTTTTGGTTTCACACAATCAGTCTGGGAGTATCCCCACAAAATGTCTGACTATGCTATCACAACAAATCATAAAGTCAAGTTTGAATTGTGATCAAATGTCTCCAAGAATTCTTTGATTGAAGAGGGCAAAGAAATTCAATGCATGGTCGCAAACCGAAGTTCCGGCCTGATTGGACTGCTCGCCCATGATGCCAGGTTGTCGATCAGAACGTCTTCTACCACCTAGGCATCGCAGGGCAGGTTGAGATGGCTTGATGCATCAAGATGACCAGCGGCCAAAGCGGCCAAAGTCATGCGCTACCAAGTGACATGCTTCGTGATCCACGGAGTCAAGGCCTGGACCACGTGGAAAAGGTTGATATGAAATGATATGAACACGTAGGGAACATCCAAAAAGTGCTGATTTCTTGACAATTCCAGATTTTGGAGATGAAAAGTTGCTCCCTGCCACGCCCGTCCGCTCCTTCAAGAAGCCAGCGGCGCTACCAGCGTTCACCACTGAGGCTGACACCTCCGTTGCAAAAAGCGCTCCTCAACACTATGGTGCAGGGTGTTGAGGAGCGCTTTTTGCAACGGAGGTGTCAGCCTCAGTGGTCACCAACTCCGATGGCCCGGTGGATAGAGATCACATCCCGGAGACAATTCATCCAAGACACTTTCCCACACCCACGTGTGGCAAGAGCCTGAAGGAAAGATCTTTGGCAATGGCAGTGCCTTCGTCCTGCAATAGCAGTAAATGCAGTAGACAATCAATCATGAATCATGACAAAAAGGGGGGTGCATACACAATTATATACACCCATACTGTATAATACAAAAGGATACAGTACACATGTATATCTGTATAATATTTACATGTGATATTATATTATAGTTATTCGTATGATTGAAACAATATTGCCTCAACCTTTGGTAGAAACACGTTTCTTCCGACTGCTGCCTGCTGCAGCGCACCTATCAAAATGGTCAAGTTACGTCAAGTTGATCTTGACAGGAAAGCATTGAAAGAATCTATCTTATGAGGCGTTCTGGCTTCTGATTGAAACTTGTCCAAAGGATGTGAAGTCAGCACCACCTGACCTAAGGATTCTCACGTTCATATCACTATCCTTGCGCAAGAACTTCACAGCTGCAAGCAAGGTTGTGAAAAAGCCCTGCAAGACTGCAAAATCCAAGGCTCCGACACTTGAGAGTTAAACTGACGTACCGCTTCCAAAATCTATCAAACAGCAGCACGGACGGAGGCCACCACTAAAAAGTCTCTATGATGGCTTGGAGGCAATCTCCTAAGAGCACACAAAGTTCAATTCCAACCCTTCCCAGCTGACACCTCGGCTTGTGTGGGACCCACATGGGCTTCTTTGCGCAGCCAACGCAAAAGGGTCCAAGCCACCTTGCCAAATTTGCCAAATCCCAGCAGATTTTGTCAGCTGACAATTGAAAACATTTTTGATGGGCCTGCTGCAGATCCTCGCGGCGAGAGCGTGCTTGGGAGAGGACCACAGAAGGTAGGCCAGGTAGGCTTCCGGCTGCGACCTCACAAGGCATGAGATTCACATACTGCACTCCCTTCCACGTTTTGGTGAGGGTCAGAGCGAAAAGAAGCAATGGAAACACAGTACGGCCAAGAGCAGACCTGGACTGTGCAACACTGCAACACGTCTGTTGGAACTGGAACTAGTGCAAAAGCAGGCAGAACTCAGGTACATCAAGTTCTTGAAGCATCATCACTGAGTCAAAAGTTTGCAGGCCTTCTGCAACAGAACAAATAGATGGGAAAATGCGGAGCTCTTGAGGAGGTCCCCAGGCTCTGGCATCCCGGACACCAGATCAAAAATCTTAAATTTGACAGTTCACCTCTGGCCTGTCTTGCAACTAGACGCCACTCGGGAGACTTCGTACTTCATAATCTTAATAGTAGAACAACGCCATTCTCAAGTCCATGATAGTCCATGACCCACCTTGGCAGTACAAGCTTCAACGTGTTTTCTTCTGATATTCAGGAAAGTTCAGAAGAGAGAGGCTATTACTGTTTACTAATCTGCACCCACTTCCGCCACTGATCGCGCACCTCCGCTAACAACGTCCCCAAGTGGTTCGCCAAAGCATCCTGAAGAGCATCTGGCAGCTGGCAGAACCAAGGCTTCACCTCGGTATCCAACACATCGCACTCCAAAGAACCTGGATCACCATCGAAGCCCAGCCCGAACCGCCCCATCCCCTGGCACCTCTTCGGTCTTTCCAAAGTGGGCGGCGTTCCACCAGGCGCTCAAGGTGCACAGGGCAACCCCAAAGGCAGCGCTCTTCAGTCGATGGTCCTCATCTTTGGTCAGGAAGCCTGTTGCCTCAGCGTGAACTCCTCACCAGCTTTAGATGTGAAACATGTGCTGGTATCCGAAGTCCGCATTCATGACAACCCCACAAAAAAGAAAAGGTTTCAACCACACCACAGATACAGAGCATGTCTGTTTCGGAAAATTGAAGAATGATCAACTTGTGGAGAGACATCCAACAAATAAAACGCGTGGCTAAGAGCTGAATTTTGAAAACCATCAGGCTCTCAACACCAACCTTCCCTTGTAAAAAGTGCAAAAAGTGCAAGAGATCAACAACGAGGTCCAGCTCAAGGTTCAACTTCCCGGCCAAGTGGCAAGTTCCAATAGATCTTCGGCTGCTGTGCTCGCCTGCCTCAGCCACACATTTCAGCACTCCTGTCCTAAAAAAGACATCGTAAGCGTGCATGTAGTCACAATAGTCACACAGACTCAGAAAAGCGACTGTCACAGAAGTGGCTGCCAGTTGTTCCCCCCAGTTTTTCGAAATAGATCAATCCACCCGTCCTCCTGTCCCTCTAAATGATTTTTGACAAGAGCACTTCCCAGTTTCGTGATCCACAGTAGTGGATAGATTGGGTAGATCCATGTAGATCCACCGAGCTGCTGGCCGGCGTGGCGCACAGAGATCAGGGCCAGGATTTCCAGCAGAGTGACCTCAAGGAGCTCCCAATCCCAAAATCTTCTGATTCAGATCGATTCATGAAATCAAATTGACTTGGAGTCTTGGAGGTACAGAAGTTATGGAAAGTCTTCCAAGGGAGCCAGCAACAGGTGCTTCAAACATAGAATCTCGAAAAACGGGGGAAAAAATCATGTCCAGCAACACTGCAACACCTCTTGAATTGCATGCATTTAGAGGCGTGTGCGGGTGTGTTCACTTTTAGGCTTTGGCCAAGGCGCCGTCAACTCTGGTTCCACTGTCCCTGTTTGGACACCTTCAACCATGCTCAAAGCGGTTGACACAAAGCCTCCCAGGGTGTTGCAGGACGGATAAGTTGAGGCAGCCATTACTTTCTCGAGTACTCAGTCGCAGGGATGCTTAGCAAATAAGATCTGATGTTTTTTCGGTCCCCGCGCCTTCCACATCACACAAAGAAACATCATAAGCCTTCGCAAGGATGCGAAGTCGCTGAGCTGTGGCCAGCAAGGTGTCTGGCATGGGTACCTCGCAAAGGTGGATCCGTTCTGAGCGATGTGCCAAGGATAAGATCCAATCAGGAAGCTTCTGAAGGTAGAGGGGCTCATGGGTTCACAGCTTACCCACGTTCAGCTTTCATGTTGCATTGGGAATGTTGGGACTCGGTATCAAAGTAGAAATCTAAGATGAGGAGCTTTTGCATCGCGAGTTGAGGGCCACATCCGGTAGATTTTGTGCGTACGGAATGAACCCTGCCAAATAAACGGAGTTTCACATTGGAGACTAGACGTGACTAGACACAACTATAACTAATCGCAGTCACAGAAAAGTTCCCTGCCCAACAGCTGCGCCTCTGCCTCGATCTCTCCTGGTGCTGAATCATGATGGTGCTATTGGTAAATCTATGACCTGGAGAGTCAAAAGTCTCATTCTTGAATTGTCCATGGGATTCTGGTTCCATACTACGAACCTTTGCCAGCACCCATAGGCTACGACCAGCCAGAAATGCCATGGGTTATTACTTGACCGTGGTCAAGATTACACTATGCCATCGGCAAAAAAACCGTCACCCCTTAACACCTAGACGACCTAATCGTCACTGCAGTGGCTCAGGCTGCAAGCACCATGCATCCCAAGAGTCCTTGAGAAGGTTTCCCGACCAACGCTGCCAGCTGCAGGAACGTGTCGTAGAGAGATTTCACCAAATCGTGCAACACGGGCCTGGAGCTCTGCCATCAGCTGGCCCGCAAGCTATCACTGGCAGACTACAGTAGACAGTAGCAACATGTAGCAACTGAAACACGATGTTTTCGACGCAGTGATCTTCTCCTCCCACTTCCAGCAACTGGCACAGCCCACCTGGCTCCGCAGAGCTCAAGTAGATGAGCCCAAGCCAAGGCCAAGTGTTCCAGGGCCTGACCAACTAAAACTGGATAAAACTGGAACGACATCACGAAAGATGCACCCAACAATCACCCAACAATGTTTTTTTTCAACATCACAAGCCGAGACGGAGCGCCTCCAAATCTGTCTGTCCGAATGGGCCGCGCAAGGCTCGCGCCACTGGCTCTCCCGCGCTTCCGGCCAGCAATCCACCTGGGCCTGGAGGACCTCAAGACTACAAGATACTACAAGGCTTCCAGGGCTTCGGTTTCCATTCGGGATTCCAGTGAGATGTCAGCAAGTGTTGAAAGCCTTGATTCTTCCACCTGTCCAGCAAATAATTGTTTCATATTGTTTCTACATTGAGCAGGCTCCATGGCAGAGAAAGGATTGGGAAGTCTCTGTATGCCCTGCTGAGGCCCAACTTAACTCACACACCTCCAATAAAGACTGCCTCAGCCTATGATATGATACTCTCGAAAAGCTCCAAGCCACTGTGGTCATGACCCCAAACTTCAGAGCTATCTACTAGCTAAGGCACTTTGAGCGCAGAATCTCAACAAGTATAGTTGCACAAGGATGCAGTACGCAACATAGCTGCCTGCAGTTTCCGCAAGGTAAAAACCCCAACAGTCGTCACAAAGAATCATACTGGCTTCCCTCTATCATAGTGTATTCAGATTATCCGGTACTATGCTTGATGGCTACTGTTCTTCGCTGTACTTGTTTGTTTTGAGAACCTTTTGCCTCTCTTGACATCTCGCAACAATTCCTGACTTTCGGCATCAAACAGAGATACCAAAAAGGATCAAAACATCTCAGTGGCCTTCTCAGACTGGAAGGTGCTCAGCAGGGTAGGCAATGGAGGGCACAAGGCACGAGCCGCGCGCTGCAGCAGTGCCTGACAATCTCGAGAACTCTGTAGACATGAGTCAAGTCTCGACATAATTTAGGGTCTCTCCGAGGTTTTTACGACTGAAGTCCAACAAAGCGCGAGCCAACCCGAAACTGGCATCCGCTGCCACCGTGGAACCCACAGTGAGGGGTCTCTGTGTTGAGTTAGTTTGCAAACATATCAGATCCTGCTTGCAAACATATCTCGAAATCAAAATCCTTTCAAGCAAAACAAGCAACCAAGCTTCAGACAAATTCTCAAAGAGGGCTGGCAGAAACACTACAAGAAACCATCTAGTTGGTGTAAGTATGGGAACCACCAGGTCTGTACGGGTTTGTCTGAAAATTAGATCCGCCCAAAATCCGCTCACAAAGACGCAGGCTGCGTCACGGCGCGGTGCCTCTGGGTCCCAAACAAGGTCGGTGATGCGGTCGTAGTCCTCCTGACGTAAGGCTCTCACATCGCGATCAAGTGGAAAACCCGCAGACTAATTTGTTCATGAAGTACTAGAGCTAAACCACTCCCTTTGGGGCACAGTACGGGCCTGTGCAATGCATACGCCATGCCAAAGTCGACGCTCCAAGCACCATTCACTCTACATCAGTTGTCGTCAGCAATCGCCTCGCATCATCATCATCATCATCATCATCACCATCACCATCACCATCATCATCATCATCATCACCGTAATCAGTAATCATGATCATCATGATCATCATGATCATCATGATCATGATCATGATCATCCTCATCATCATCATCATCACCGTAATCATGATCATGATCATGATCATGATCATGATCATCACCATCATCATCATCACCGTAATCATGATCATGATCATGATCATCATCATCACCATCATCATCATCATCACCATCATCATGATCGTCCATCGTCATCATCATCACCATCACCACCACCACCACCACCATCATCATCATCATGATTATCATCATCTCCGGAACCCTCTTTTCGAAGCTGAAAACGCTACTTTCTCACATTCGACCCTACCCCAAAATGGGGGTAGGGTCATATGCGAAACCATTGGGGTAGGGTCAAATGCGAGGTCCGTACCATCAGTGGCATTACTGTCATCAGTGGCATCACTGTCATCAGTGGCATCACTGTCATCAGTGGCATCACTGTCATCAGTGGCATCACTGTCATCAGTGGCATCACTGTCATCAGTGGCATCACTGTCATCAGTGGCATCGCTGTCATCATTGTCATCACTGTCATCACTGTCATCACTGCCATCATTGTCATCGTTGTCATCCTTGTCATCGTTGTTATCATTGACATAACTGTCGTCACTGCCATCACTGGCATCATTGTCATCGTTGTCATCCTTGTCATAGTTGTCATCACTGCCATCACTGGCATCACTGTCATCAGTGTCATCGTTGTCATCGTTGTCATCCTTGTCATCCTTGTCATCCGTGTCATCCGTGTCATCCTTGACATCAATCATTTTCATCGCTGTCATCACTGTCATCACTGGCATCACTGTCATCACTGTCATCATTGTCATCGTTGACATCATTGTGATGGTTGTCATCCTTGGTATCACTGTCATCGTTGTCATCACTGTCATCACTGTTATCATTGTCATCGTTGTCATCACTGTCATCGTTGTCATGACTGTTATCATTGCCATCGTTGTCATCACTGTCATCGTTGTCATCACTGTCATCGTTGTCATCACTGTCATCGTTGTCATCACTGTCATCGTTGTCATCACTGTTATCATTGCCATCGTTGTCATCACTGTCATCGTTGTCATCACTGTCATCGTTGTCATCACTGTCATCGTTGTCATCACTGTCATCACTGTTATCATTGTCACCGTTGTCATCACTGTCATCGTTGTCATCACTGTTATCATTGCCATCGTTGTCATCACTGTCATCGTTGTCATCACTGTCATCGTTGTCATCACTGTCATCGTTGTCATCACTGTCATCACTGTTATCATTGTCACCGTTGTCATCACTGTCATCGTTGTCATCACTGTTATCATTGCCATCGTTGTCATCACTGTCATCGTTGTCATCACTGTCATCGTTGTCATCACTGTCATCGTTGTCATCACTGTCATCGTTGTAAATCCTGTTATGCATTGCCATCTTGATCTCACTGTCATGTTGTCATCACGTTCAATGTTGCATCACTGTCATCCGTTTGTCATCACTGTCATCGTTGTCATCACTGTCATCGTTGTCATCACTGTCATTGTTGTCATCACTGTCATCACTGTTATCATTGTCATCGTTGTCATCACTGTCATCGTTGTCATCACTGTCATCGTTGTCATCACTGTCATCGTTGTCATCACTGTCACCACTGTTATCATTGTCATCGTTGTCATCACTGTCATCGTTGTCATCACTGTCATCACTGTTATCATTGTCATCGTTGTCATCACTGGCATCGTTGTCATGACTGTTATCATTGCCATCGTTGTCATCACTGTCATCGTTGTCATCACTGTCATCGTTGTCATCACTGTCATCGTTGTCATCACTGTTATCATTGCCATCGTTGTCATCACTGTCATCGTTGTCATCACTGTCATCGTGGTCATCACTGTCATCGTTGTCATCACTGTCATCGTTGTCATCACTGTCATCGTTGTCATCACTGTCATCGTTGTCATCACTGTCATCGTTGTCATCACTGTCATCGTTGTCATCACTGTCATTGTTGTCATCACTGTCATCACTGTTATCATTGTCATCGTTGTCATCACTGTCATCGTTGTCATCACTGTCATCACTGTCATCACTGTCATCATTGTCATCGTTGTCATCACTGTCATCGTTGTCATCACTGTCATCGTTGTCGTCACTGTCATCACTGTTATCGTTGTCTTCGTTGTCATCACTGTCATCACTGTCATCGTTGTCATCACTGTCATCACTGTTATCATTGTCATCGTTGTCATCACTGTTATCATTGTCATCGTTGTCATCACTGTCATCATTGCCATCGTTGTCATCACTGTCATCGTTGTCATCACTGTCATCGTTGTCATCACTGTTATCATTGCCATCGTTGTCATCACTGTCATCGTTGTCATCACTGTCATCGTGGTCATCACTGTCATCGTTGTCATCACTGTCATCGTTGTCATCACTGTCATCGTTGTCATCACTGTCATCGTTGTCATCACTGTCATCGTTGTCATCACTGTTATCATTGCCATCGTTGTCATCACTGTCATCGTTGTAATCACTGTCATTGTTGTCATCACTGTCATCACTGTTATCAATTTGTCATCGTTGTCATCACTGTCAGCGTTGTCATCACTGCCTTGTCATCAACTGTCATCGTTGTCATCTCACTGTATCACTGTTCTCATCATTGTCATCTTGTCATCACTGTCATCGTGCAATCACTGTCATCGTTGTCATCACTGTCAATCGTTTGTTCATCAACTGTCATCCGTTGTCATCACTGTCAATCGTTGTCACCTGTCAGAGTTTCATCACTGTCATCGTTTCATCACTGTCATCGTTGTCATCACTGTCATTGTTGTCATAACTGTGTCATCGCTGTTATCAATGTCAATCGTTTGTCATCACCTGTCATCAACTGTTTCATTGTCATCGTGGTCTCACTAGCATCGGTGTCATGACTGTTATCATTGCCATCGTTGATCATCACTGGTCATCATTGCCCCCACGGTTGTCATCACTGTCCTCTTGTCTCACTGTCAATCGTTGGCATCACTGTGATCATTGCCATTCGTTGTCCTCGTTTTTCTTCGTTGTCATCACTTCACTGTCATCGTTGTCATCACTGTCATCACTGTTACATTTGTCATCGTTTCATCACTAGCAGTGCGTTGTCAGACGTGGTTATCATTTTGCCATCGTGGGGGTGTGTCCATCCTGTCATCATTGCCGCGATGCGTGGTTGGTCATCAACTGGTCACGGTTCCTCACGTCCATCGTTGGTGTCATCGGACTGTTATCATGTGCCATCGTTTCATTCACTGTCTCGTTGTCATTCACTGTCATCTTGGTCATCACTGTCAATCGTTGTCATCACTGTCATCGTTGTCATCACTGTCATCGTTGTCATCACTGTCATCGTTGTCATCACTGTCATCGTTGTCATCACTGTCATCGTTGTCATCACTGTCATCGTTGTCATCACTGTCATCACTGTTATCATTGTCATCGTTGTCATCACTGTCATCGTTGTCATCACTGTCATCGTTGTCATCACTGTCATCGTTGTCATCACTGTCATCACTGTTATCATTGTCATCGTTGTCATCACTGTCATCGTTGCATCACTGTCATCGTTGTCATCACTGTCATCGTTGTCGTCACTGTCATCACTGTTATCGTTGTCTTCGTTGTCATCACTTTCATAACCGTCATCATTGTCATCATTTTCATCACCCATTATTGCCCATCCGTTTTTGGCCTACATGTAAACAACCCTTACCTGGATGGAAATGCCTGGATGGAAATGGAACATACTTGGACCTCATATGGACCTTATGAACAAACCATAACGAAAATTAACAAACCAATTTTAGGATGTTCTTCATTCTGATAGGATTTAAATATATTTCAAATAGATTTTTCGTTTTGACCGGACTTGACACTTTAAACATTGATAAAAATGACCTGGATCCTGTCAGTGCGACGGTTTCATTGAATCCACTGCGGTGCCCCCGGGTGCCTCGACGCTGTCCGAGACGTTGTTGTTACCGTGGATGATCTCTGCGTCACAGCTGTCAATCGCCTCTGAAAAGAGGTCATGCCATGTCAAAAATCTAAAAGATCTAAAGTGAATTTGAAATGCAAGATACTGCAAGGTGACAAAGGTGACAAAACAAGAGGCACATCTCACAGCTCCCAGTTGCCGCTCCGCTGTTAATTGAAGGCCTTTTTACTTTTCATTCACGGGCAGTGACATTGCATTGCCGTAGCCGAGGTCGCTACGCAACACGGCTGCAACATCATTCCTATTCCAAGACTGTCATGTATCATGGGTTTGCCAATTAGTTCTGCTACCCTGCGCCCGGGACTTGCAAGAGTTTAGGCAGAAAGTGCCCAACAGAAATACAAAGAATGCCAAGTTGCAAGATTGCAGTGAACTGTTTAGTGCCTGACGCGTTTCATTTGACATGTTTGACTTATTTGACGTCGTTTTGAATCTGTGGCGGCATTTGCAACCCCTTTGCAAAGCGCTGTCTTGTCTTCGCTTGCCCAACTGGGTGGAAGAGAGCTCTCTCGTCATCCTTACAATCCTCTGCTGATATTTTCACCCCCCCGCAATATCCCTTTATTAAAAAAAAAATGAATGCCTCCCCCCCGGCCCTGGGCTGCCCCTGTGAGCCAGCTCTGCGCCGCTATCAACAAGAGTGGCCAGTACAATACCACAAGCCCATCACCCGGTCGGGGCAGCCCAGGGCCGGGAGGGTAGCGCAGGGCCAGTCGACCCGCAGCTTGGGCAAGCCCAAGCTGCAAGCCGCTCAGCCCAACGCCTCCGGCAACCAACTACACCCAGGCCCGGCGCCGCCCGTTCATCCTGCCAAGGTCCTACGCTGCAGAGCTTGAGCAGAGAGTGTCCCGCCCACCCGCAAGCAGCTGCTCCTCACGCGCCCATGCATCACCGGCCAATGCGCCCGCTTGGCCCCCGACCAAACACTAGGGAGAGCTCTTTACAGAGCATCTCCCCGATGTTCGGTTCGGCGGCGCAAGAGGGCGCAATGGCTTCTGTGACGCAAGGGTGCGAGAGTTGCAGCTGCCTGCCGGTGGACGGGACACTCTTGCTCAGGATCGGCAGCGCACGACACAAGGCAGGTATATTACGGACGTCCCCGGGCTTGCATGATGTCGGTTATTATGGACCAGGCGAATTTGGCTAGCTTCTTGCACCGTCTTGTCAAAAGCAGCATATGCAGAGCCAACTCGTTTTATTTTATTCTTTTATATCTCTTCTTTCATGTGTTTTGATTTTGTCATCTCTTCCTCCCACATCGCTGTGTCAGCAGGGAAGGCAATGCTCGCTTCTGAGAGTCCTTGCACTGGTAGATTGCACAGTTGCGCATGCTTTGTCTATATGTCCAAATACGTACTTGTATGGCAGCAATATACATATATGACAACCATGTAAAAAGTGGTCATCTGCTGTGTGGATAAATCAAGAGTCCCAAAAGAACGACTGAAAACTTTGGTTGTGCCTACTACTTCTGTGAGCGCTCGTCCTCAGGGTCCCAGCCAAACGCATTGCATGAGTAGCCATGCAAACCACCTACAGCGCAAGCTGTAGCAATGGAACAGCCAAATTTAGAATCGAAAAGAACAAGAGACATCAAGAGACACGAAAACAAACATAACAACAGTTGTCACAACAGTTAACGACATCATTTGTGTCACTCCTTACGAGTCGAACAAAGCAGGGTCGGCTATGCTGTAGGATGAAGCCGGAATACGACCAATTTGATGTATATAACTTGGTTATACTTAGTGTTTTTTTCCTGGGAAGAATTAAGTTCAAACTTGAGGTCTGTACCATCCCAGCATGTTTTGCAACAAACGGCAAACTGAACGCTTTGTAGTGGCAGCACTCGTCAACCTGCAAATGTTCGTGCAGGAGGCTGCTGACACTGTGCAATATAATGCCAAACATAATGCTACATGTATATATATATATTTATAATGCTATATAATGCTATATAATGCTATAGTTTCTTGTTATATACCCGTCCTATCCCATCCTACACATTCCAAGCGGCACACTTTGATCACTCTGATCACATGCCTTCTCGTAGCGACAGCTCTGTCGATCGAGGCAGGAATGCTGGATGTGGGATCCCGCCTAAAGTAGGCAAGGAAGAAGTATGGCAGTATGGAAATATGGAAAATTACAAAAATGACAGACAAGTATAGGAATATAATCAAATATAGAGACAAGTCTTACACTCGCTTTGAGAGGATCGCTATCCGCCAGCATTAGCTGAGACATCTGAAGACAAAGGGGAAGCTGCCCAAACCTAGACCAAGCTGTCTTAAAACTATACAAAGCCTAGGGCCTAGGGAAATCATACTGAATCTGGGACAGTCTTGGTCAACTCAGTGAGGGGAGGTCAAATTTGTCTAGGGAGTTTCAAATCCCCCTCCAATATCTTCCGATTGCAAAGCACCCCAGAGAAAGTGGTAGCAAGATGTAGCAAGGATAAAGACATTGGTAAAGATGAGGATACAAATTTAGATGATATAAGAACATATAAGACACTAATAGCCATTAAGACAGAGGCTTCTTGGCCAATGAGTCACATTGAAGGAAAAGTAGGTTCAACTGGGTTCAACTGGGTTCAACTCGCTACTCCAATTTTCGTCTCCGTCATCATCTGAGTCTGGGAATGTCTGGGATCCCTGCCAGGGCCAGCTCCGGATTCCCTCGGGCAGTCTGATCGTCCGAGCGCCTCATCGTCAAGTCCAACTTCAGAAAAGCAAGGTCAAATAAGTTATGAAATAAGATAGAACATATTAGAACATGATAATATGATAGAAAGCTTATGAAAGCAAGTCTGAAAGCTTGACATTGCATGGCATTGGCTAGATGATTCAATGTGCTTCAGATTGCTTCATGCCGGTCACTCTGCTTGTTTGTCTTCTTGGGGTAGTCACTAGCCAAAGCACTCAATACATGCACCCTCCATAAAGATGTATGCAAAAGGGGGGCACGGGACACATGTCGTGCCCCCCTTTTGCATACATCTTTATGGAGGGGGCATGTATTGAGTGCTTTGGCTAGTGACTACCCCAAGAAGACAAACAAGCAGAGTGACCGGCATGAAGCCGTGTGGAATGGTGGAATGACATTGTGATGATGAGTGTTGGAGAATGGACTGCCAAACTCAACAGTTGTATGAGTCATGAGTGATGGCCAGTGATGACTTCTGTTTTTTTTCAATTTGCTCTGCCCGCAGCACCTGATCTTCTCTCGCCACGCTTGCCTTTGCCGGCAAGCTGGCACACCAATCCGAAAGGTCGAAAGGTCGAAAGGTCGAAAGGTCGTTCGATAAGAAACAAAAAGAATGGCCAAATTACGAAACGACAAAACATTTGACCCTGGATAACCTGTCGGGGAAAAAACGATTCCAAACGATGCTTGCTTTGCCTCGCCGTCACACGCCACATGTCATATCGAGACATGTCAAGTCACATCTCTAAAGGCCCTGCGAAATGGTTCACACCTTGAAAGCGGAGAGCAGAGGCAAAGTTCTCGCTATGCAGCTGTGGTTCAGGTATAACATGGTATAAGTGTATAGTCAAATCCTGTCATAGAATGCTATGTGCTGCAATATATAGATTCATCCTGTAACATCCTGTAATGATACATGTATATACATGTTAATACATGTTACATGTCTTGCGAGTGTTACATGAACACATCTAGACTTAGAATTGCAATGAATTGCATAATACATTGAGATGATCAGAAACTCCAAAGTCAACCCTTCTGCAATCTGCAGCGCTGCATCGAACATGTCCAAAGTCTGGGATCTCCGGCTGAACCCAAGCCACATCCGCCATGATCCATGTCCAATGATCCAGTCGGTCCATTCATATTGAAGCTGTGGATTATCATGGATTATCTATGCTCTATGCTTTACAGCTGCTATGTTGCTTTGGCTGTAGGGGATGTTCTACCTTCAAGATCCTTTAAGTTGAAAGGCAGCTGATTTTACTGGGGCTTCACCCCACAGGGAATTCTGGATTTTCTTTTGATCACCATCGTGTCTTAACATGCACAATGTGTGCCGGCCAAAGTCAGCCCATATCGCTATCCTTGAGGAATTTGTAGTGACAGCATGTTCAAGCCGTGCAAGGCCATGGAACGATAGGGGCATGGACTCTAAACTGCAAAAAACACAAGTTGCAATTCATCGTGATGAATCGAGTAAGGATTGAAATTTGCAACATATCTACGGTATGAGGATCCTTAGTGATCCTCAAGTTCGCAGGAATTGACGTAATTCTGTAGTTGATATCTTTTGAGCCAGAAATGTCATGTCATTCCAATCACCAGAACAATCATTATTTCGCTGTTGCTCTATACCCTCTCATCACTCCTCATCTTGATTCCATTTGATTCCAAGCCATGGGTTAAAACACCATTCTGTTGGTTTCAATCCATTCTTTTGTTGTTTGAAACCCACAATTTTCCTGTTTTATCCCATCACGCCCCCAAGTTCAGGCTTCAAGGCGGGTCCCAAAAAGCAAAAACAAGGCCAACAAAACCAGCTGATTTCCAACACATGGACGTAACCAGCCTGAAACCGGCAAATTTTGTTGGTTCGATCTCAAATTGTGTTGGTATAAATTCTGAACACAAAATTAAGTTATTAAACAATGGTTAACCATCAATTTAAGTCTTCCCATTCTTCTTCGGTGAAATATTTACGCTTAAAAAAAACATATATTATATGTTATTATATTATATAATATTATATATATTATCATGATATTTATGACCTATATAACAATGTTTTGTTTATTGACAAATGGTTTAACATGGTTTAACCATGACCAAAAAATTGACAACTTGGATTTCGATCTGCGCCTCATCCAGCTCCAGGAAAGCCGCATCGGAGCGCTGGAAGGCGCCCAGCAGATTCCGCGCGGGTTTCAACTGCTCCTTTTTCAACTGAACATATGAGGAGTTCATTGAGTTCATGGGGATTTCATGTGTTTTCCTTTTTTTCCAGCCAAAATTCGGATTTAACCAAAGAATAATGGATAATTGGATAATGCTGGGTTTCTAATCAGTGAATAATGGATATAATATTATATAATGGGGGACTCCATGAAGAATTAGGATTTGAACCACGGAAACTACAGGAATTAAGCCACAAGAATTGGGATAGAATCGACCGACATACGGGTAATGATGTTATGATCTTGTGGGTCAACATAGCTGCTTTTGACCGGAAATGTTGGTTTACCGGTATTCTCCAGTTGATGGCCAAAGAATTGGAAACTAATACATAAAATGATGATAAATGATGATAGATTATAGAGTGTCATTGAATGTCATTGATAAAGCATTATAAACCACTGGATTCGGGTAAAAACAGTTCTTGAAATGGAACAATTCGGAACAATGTTCACCAGCTGGTGATGGAACGATGGAACACCGGCAACGACCATGACAGCGAGATACTGGGCAAGAATGTCTTTGTAGGGTGGGGAAGCACCGCACAGCGACTTTCTATGCTGTTCTATCTTTCATCCGAAAAACTAAAATAGATTTAAAGCAGTAGTGGAACAGCAGTCAATGTTGAAACTATTGTTGTGATCGTCGATTAGTATCCCCTCTAATAGTTCACCATCGTTCACCATCGTGCTGGGTCCTTTGAGATGCCGCTGTTGTCGGTGTTGCTGAGCGCAGTCTGCAAGCGTTCGGTGTTGCCCATGGAAACCTTGGCTCACGGTGTCTAGTTGCGGCTATTCGGATTAATAAATGTCAATATAATATAATATATCATAATATATTGTAATATTAATTGACCATCAAACTTGGGATGATCAATTATGAATTATGGAACTTTACAGCATTTTCAGGGGTGGATATTGTTTGACATGCAAAGATCAGGTGTTCAAACTGCAAGGTACAGCCAGCAGTCCTTTTCTCATGATCTCACGAAATCGTACCTTTGATACCTTTGATATCCTTTGATTAGTTTGAGGTTTGATCGATTTTGATCGCTCTGGAAAAAAGGTGATTTCTGGGATCGGGGGATCCCTGATCCCTGGGGATCCCTGGGGATCCCTGGGGATCCCTGGGGCTCAGTGCTGCAATCTCCAGCTCTCTCGTCAGCTCGCCCCAGCGTCGCTGCACTTCATCAGCAGATGCCTCGGCTTGTGGCTGACTGACACAGTTGTTTCTTCAAATGGGGAACAAACCATGGTTGATTCCTGGTTGGTTTGGGGTCCAACAAATTGATGATACTGTGCTACAAACTATTGGATTCACAAGAAACATTTTTTTGGGGTACCATTAACCTCATTAAACATTAAACATTCAAATCTTGGGGCTCCCTGTCTACAAACTATAACTATTCGAGACACGACCCAAACTATCGATAAACCACCGGACCAAGCTCATCTGAGGCCATAGGCAATCTCCTCATTCTTCACACCCGCCATCTGCGAAAGCGAGTTTGACATATGTCACACTGAATCCCACAGATCTAGCCGCTGGAATCGAGTGACAGATAGAAATACAGTTTTAATTATAACATGCTGCACTCCTTTCCATATAGTCTCAAAGATTTGGACATTCGTTCCTTGTGGTTCAAATCCTTCATAAATAATGATTGCAGATTGCCTTTACCCACTGTATCTTATTAATTAATATTGTTAAATAGGTAGCATCCACCATATAATGTTTCCTCATCAACATGTTGGCAATATAATGACATGTCTGAAATGTGGATTTCATTGGAAATAGTGAAATAACATGAAAGGCCGGACCTTCATCGCCGGCTGCAATCACTTGACACAGAAAAACACAATGTTTCGCCCTCCCTCATCCTCCCTTACACAAGTCCCATGCAACTTTCATGGAGCCATTCCAATACGATCGCCATCGCGCATTGCAGAGCACCCAAGAGGAACAAATCACACGCAAAAGGAACCGACCGCGGCCGCACCCACCTCACAAACGAGCTGCCCTTCGTCGCCGGTCCAAGCCACTTTACACGAAGAAACACAATGTTCTGCGGCCCAGAATCCTCCACAACAAGTCCCACGCATATGTATGTATTGTTGATATTGTTGTGTATGCTTTGTTATTTAATGTATTGTTATGTGTTGTACTGTTATGTGATATTATGTGATATTGTATGTAACGTGAATTGTTCTGCGATGCATTGTTGTATGATGTATTATGCGATTTATTGTGATGTGATGTATTGCTATGTGATGCATTGATGTGTGATGTATTGTTGTGTGATGTACTGTTCTGTGATGCATTGTTGTGTGCTGTATCGTTCCGTGATGTATTGTTGTGTGCTGTATTGTGATTCGTTGATGTACTGTGATGTGATGCATTGTTATGTGTTGCTGTGTGATGCATTGTTATGTGATGTATTGTTGTGTGAAGTGAATTGTTCTGCGATGCATTGTTACTGTGAAGTGAATTGTTCTGCGATGCATTGTTGTGTGATGTATTGTTATGCGATGTATTGAGATGTGATGTACTGTTATGTGATGCATTGTTGTGTGATGTATTGTTGTATGCTGTACTGTTCTGTGATGAATTGTTGTGTGCTGTAACTGTACTGTTCTGTGATGTATTGTTGTGTGCTGTATCGTTCTGTGATGTATTGTCGTGTGATGTATTGTTATGTGAGGTGAATTGTTCTGCGATGCATTGTTGTGTGACGTATTGTTATGCAATGTATTGTAATGTGATGTATTGTTATGTGATGTATTGTTGTGTGATGTATTGTTGGGTGATGTATGCTTGTGCGATGTATTGTGATGATGTGATGTATTATTTTGTTATGTTTTGTGATGTGATGTATTTTTGCGTGATGTATTGTTGTGTGATGTATTGTTGTGTGATGTATTGTTGTGTGATGTATTGTTATGTGATGTATCGTGATGTGATGTATTGTTATGTGTTTTATTGTTATGTATGTTTTGTTCCTGCATTAGACTTTATCCGTAACTCGGAAGATTGCTTCCCAACTTCCTTTGATAAAAGACATGTGATCTTTGTTTTATGAAACACATTCATATCAACATACACACTCATTTTTGCAAATGTATTTTTTTAAAAGAGCATAAACTCAATAATAATATTTTTCAAACTTACTATAACTGCACGGAGAATGCATCTAACAAAATAGACTTTAATACAATGCAAAATATGGGAAAAGGGTGGTTAGTTTAATTCACCAATTCATTCTTTGGAAAAAAGAAATAAACTACGTCCAAGCAATATTGTAGAATAGCCTAGAATCAAAATCGGCCTGTTGATGCTTCCCAAGCCCTGCAAACAATTTTCGAAACACTTTACGGATTCAACTCTCGAAGCAAACAAAACAACTTGAAGAAGCTTCAACTATACCTACGAGACAATCTTTTCACAACGGGACTATATGCTTTTCTCGGTCGTTTGTTGTCACAAAAGGCGGCACTTTTTGCACATAAGACTCGCCGTCTTGAGGTTTTCTTTTGCCTTGCCAGTTGCCAAAGGTTCTGGGGCCCGATGCCCAAAGATACCAAGTACCGGAAGGAACCACATTAGAATAAGCATCCTGGTAACATGTAACTTTCAATGCAATGCCAAAGAACGCCAAAGAACCCAATTAACATGATTGCTTGAGCCGCACCAGGCAGCGGCATTTGCCGTCGCGGGGCAAGACCTGCATCTAACAAAGCCACATGGGAACACGAATCGGACAGAGAATGCTATTGGACCAAAGACACATACTGATAAAATATGTTGCTCATTGCCATGAAGAGCATGCTTGTTCCACATCTGCATGTTCCTGTGGCTCAGAGTCAGCCAATTTCTAGTTGGCTGTGGAAAACTTGGCTCAAAAGGCCGATGCTTGAAAAATTCTACTATTGCGCAATGTAATGGGTCTTGGCTCGCGGAACGTTGCCAACTGGAAAAAGAAAAGATCTAGATGATCTAGCTTCAGCAGAATTAGATTTATCATTGATCATTCAGAAGAACCCCTTCACATGAAATCATGACCATCGCCAGAAGCCGCTTCTTGTTTACCGGCCAATTATACTGAGGAGTGTGAGGAGGAGTGAAGACAGTGTTCGTGATGTTGAGGCCGCCCAACACCATTCCCGCAAATTTCAATCTCCTCTATTCACCATCTAACGGCCCTTGCTTCACCAGTGCATCCTCCCGTTTTTGCTCATATGGCCCACTTCCTCGAAGAAAACCCAGCACATGACTAATCAATATTTGGGACCCAGCATAGGTGCCATGAGGTGTGTGGCTTCAAGGCCAAGGCTACTAGAGAATTTTGAACAGGAACCCTGGTAACCCTCCCGCTCTTGACACTTCAAGTAAAACAGCAATTAAGAAAAGTTGGGATATCTTTCCTTGTCGCGTCTTGTCACCATGACCCATTCGAAAAAACGGGTGGCCCCACCTGCGCACTGGGGGCTCAGTCAATTTGACCAAGGAAAGCTATTCTATGTAACAAGCTTTGCAACAGCAAAAACTGCTGCTGCTGGATATGCCTCAAATGTGAAAGGCTGTTGATGTCAATATTTCTTTGCAACAAGGCCTGTTTTGAGACACACCCAATTAAATCTGTCGCTTTTTGCTCTCTAAACGACACTGCATGGCCACACAAAAAAGAGCTACGCTGCAACAACAAAACCTCCAAAGAAAGGGGGGGTGTATAGTTCGAATGTGTGACTTTTGCCCGGACATATTGAAGCAGAATCGCAACCAACCGCTAACTTGGGATGCAGACATAGCTACCCGATAAAACTTTCTCTCAGGGGTCTGGCATTCCATATTCGGAACTTGGGATTTGTTCCCGGCCTTTTTTTGTCTTGGAATATCTTGGCTGCGTGGATGTGTTTGCAAACTTAATGGATGTTGGCCTATTTGCTCACACCAAACATGCCCAGGCAATGCGCCTATTCGAGGTCTTTGCGAATCCAGTTTGCACAAAATTTCCACATCTGTAGATTTCTTTGTGGAATGGTTCTTAATCAGCAATGGCCATGAACCTGATGTCATCTATCAAGTCGGCGCGGCCCGTCAGCAGCTTATGCCGGCACCTCTTCCTTGGCAACACCGTGCTTGTTCTTTTGATTTTTTGCATGGATTGTAATTAAAAATGCATCATTTAGATATTGAACCAACCCCAAGATATGCGACACATAGACACACACCAGCGTCTAGTGACATCTTCGCAACTGTGAAGGTAGGTCATTGCGACCTCGCGCCTCCTGAACACTGGGGCGCGTTTGAAGAGATTATGGTGTCAACATGTGTCAACTGTGCGTAGCAGCCCAACGTTCCGGTTCCCTTCGCGCTGTGGCGGTATCTAGGTCATACCAGATGCAAGCGGAATGGAAACTGACATATCTATAGTATCATGGACGAAAATCGATTCTGACATGCGAGCTGATTAATTTGCTGCCGCGTTCCTGGACATGAATCAGTAAATAGACACATAACTGTCAATATAGTAAGACACGCGTATGTATGTATACTGTATATATATCTATATCTATACAAATATGATTCTGAAAATGAACCTGAGGACGTGAGTTAAAGGAATGCCTGCCTATCTCTTTCCTTCTCCTCTGGCTGCTACAAATGTCTGTGTGTGGCTTTATTCATTCATTCATTCGCTGATTTGTTTATTATGTCGGGTTTTTCCTTCTCCATTCACTTAGTATTGTCTCTATTTATTTACGCGCATACGTACATATACATACATGGACATACATACACATAAATGCACATTAAAACACATCGATGCGTATATATACACATGAACTGTGAAATGAACACACATATATACACGTCTACATGTATATACATATACATATAAATATGTATACACATGCATTCAACAAAAGATGCATACATACGTATACATGCACATACGCACATACATACCATTGCATTGCGTTGCATTGCATTGCACTACATAACATTACATTGCATCACATCACATTACAAACATTACATACATTACATCACAATACCTTGCATTGCATTGCCATTACATAGCATTAATTCCATTGCATTACAATACATTACATTGCATTACATTGAATTACATGGCGATACATGACATTACATTGCAGTACATTGCATTGCATTGCAATACATTAATTGCTTTACACTACATTGCATTATACTACATTGCATTACCATTTCATTGCGTGACAACATAGCACTCTACATTACATTGCATTTCATATGCATGCATGTATACACACACATATATATATATGTAAATATACATAAATGCAGAAATGCATATGTGTCAAACAAATGATGTCCCATGCCAGAGCAGAAGTTTTGAAGCAAGTCTAAAGGGACAAGGAATGCAACTAGGAAGGGTGACCTGAAAGCAGGCAGCGTGCCCTACAATGCATGCTTCGCGCAGCCGCTACAGTGTGGAGCAACCTGCTGCCTGTCCGGAAAGCACGGCCCGAACGAATGAAAAAAACGGCCCGAACGGATGAAAAAAGAAAACAGTGCAGCTCCCACCAGGAAAAGGTTGCAAATTAAAATGATCCCTCCCTACAGTCTAGCGCGCATGTTTGCCACAGCTTTCCCGTAGCATCTTGGGAGCCAGAAAATTTGAAAGTAAAGAAAAGTAGGTGTTCCTGGCACTTGCTTCGGATGCACCCAAGAAATTCACCATGCCGTTTGCTCCAAGCACGCGCTTACTGACTCTTGCCCTGATCCGATGAAGCAAGCAGTCCCAAGTGAGCCGCGCAGCGGACTGGCTGAGTGGTTGCGTGGTCGATATAGCAGTTGGCTATTGGCACGTGCTTGCGCCACGGAACTTTCGCGTATCAACTTTCTTCTTCAATGTTACAAACAGATGGACCTGAGAAAATACTGACAAGAGGTTGACGTATTAAGTGCTGGCACAAGACTGTCGCAGACATGCCTAACGCACCCACACCCATCCCCAAAAACACACACACACACACATCAGGCACATATCACATGTATACCGTATACCTGACATGTATCTGACGTGCCTCCGAAAAACCTGTGACGGATGTTGCAATGTCTCGAGCATGCGTTGCAATGTGGAGTCTGCAGTTTGACGGGTAGCTCTTCACCTTTAAGCAGTGGCAACATGCTTTGGGGCTCCTGAGGAAAAAAACGCAAGAAAATACCTAATGCGATATCTGGACACTGCAAGCTGACAAGCCGGGTCATGAATCACCAAGACGCTTTCTTGTCCTCTTTTTTCGCCTCCTCCTTCTTTGGCTCTTTCTTCTTGGCCTCTGCCTCCTTCTTGGGTTCTTCCTTCTTCTCCTCCTTCTTTGGTTCTTCCTTCTTGGCCTCTACCTCCTTCTTGGGTTCTTCCTTCTTCTCCTCCTTCTTTGGCTCTTCCTTCTTGGCCTCTGCCTCCTTCTTGGGTTCTTCCTTCTTCTCCTCCTTCTTTGGTTCTTCCTTCTTGGCCTCTACCTCCTTCTTGGGTTCTTCCTTCTTCTCCTCCTTCTTTGGCTCTTCCTTCTGGCCTCTGGCCTCTCTTGGGTCTCCTTCCTTGATTCTTCCTTCTTCTTCCTTTTGGCTCTTCCTTCTTGGCCTCTGCCTCCTTCTTCGGTTCTTCCTTCTTCTCCTCCTTCTTTGGCTCTTCCTTCTTGGCCTCTACCTCCTTCTTGGGTTCTTCCTTCTTCTCCTCCTTCTTTGGCTCTTCCTTCGTGGCCTCTGCCTCCTTCTTGGGTTCTTCCTTCTTCTCCTCCTTCTTTGGCTCTTCCTTCTTGGCCTCTGCCTCCTTCTTCGGTTCTTCCTTCTTCTCCTCCTTCTTTGGCTCTTCCTTCTTGGCCTCTACCTCCTTCTTGGGTTCTTCCTTCTTCTCCTCCTTCTTTGGCTCTTCCTTCTTGGCCTCTGCCTCCTTCTTGGGTTCTTCCTTCTTCTCCTCCTTCTTTGGCTCTTCCTTCTTGGCCTCTGCCTCCTTCGATTCTTCCTTCTTCTCCTCCTTCTTTGGCTCTTCCTTCTTGGCCTCTGCCTCCTTCTTGGGTTCTTCCTTCTTCTCTCCTTCTTTGGCTCTTCCTTCTTGGCCTCTGCCTCCTTCTTAGGTTCTTCCTTCTTCTCCTCCTTCTTTGGCTCTTCCTTCTTGGCCTCTGCCTCCTTCTTGGGTTCTTCCTTCTTCTCTTCCTTCTTTGGCTCTTCCTGCTTGGCCTCTGCCTCCTTCTTAGGTTCTTCCTTCTTCTCTTCCTTCTTCGGCTCTTCCTTCTTGGCCTCTGCTTCCTTCTTGGGTTCTTCCTTCTTCTCCTCTTTCTTTGGCTCTTCCTGCTTGGCCTCTGCCTCCTTCTTCGGTTCTTCCTTCTTCTCCTCCTTCTTTGGCTCTTCCTTCTTGGCCTCTGCCTCCTTATTCGGTTCTTCCTTCTTCTCTTCCTTCTTTGGCTCTTCCTTCTTGGCCTCTGCCTCCTTCTTGGGTTCTTCCTTCTTCTCTTCCTTCTTTGGCTCTTCCTTCTTGGCCTCTGACCTCCTTCTTGGTTCTTCCTTCTTCTCTTCCTTCTTTGGCTCTTCCTTCTTGGCCTCTGCCTCCTTCTTCGGTTCTTCCTTGCCTCTCTTCCTTCTTTGGCTCTTCCTTCTGGCCTCTGGGTTCTTCTCTTCCTTCCTTCTTTGGCTCTTCCTTCTTGGCCTCTGCCTCCTTCTTGGGTTCTTCCTTCTTCTCCTCCTTCTTTGGCTCTTCCTTCTTGGCCTCTGCCTCCTTCTTGGGTTCTTCCTTCTTCTCCTCCTTCTTTGGCTCTTCCTTCTTGGCCTCTGCCTCCTTCGATTCTTCCTTCTTCTCTTCCTTCTTTGGCTCTTCCTTCTTGGCCTCTGCATCCTTCTTAGGTTCTTCCTTCTTCTCCTCCTTCTTTGGCTCTTCCTTCTTGGCCTCTGCCTCCTTCTTCGGTTCTTCCTTCTTCTCGTCCTTCCTTGGCTCTTCCTTCTTGGCCTCTGCTTCCTTTGTGGGTTCGTCTGCATCCTTTTTCTTCACTTCTTCATCTTCTCGAATAACCTCTGGCGGAATCCCCTCCTGCAACAGAGTTGGGAGGGAGCTTAGGTAGGGCCCTGTGAGAAACTGTGATCAACTGTCAGACAGCCCTGCTTCCATGCAAGAGACAAAAATAAATAAAGACAATACGTATAAGCATGAAACCTCACTCCGCATCCGGCAATGAGACTATTCCCCTGTTCACCAACAGCTTTCCAGAAAACAACTGCTCTGATGATCCTTGGAATGATGGTACCCCCATCTGAATCGGGGCCTGGCCACACCTTCAGCAACAAAAGGATTAAATGTAATTTTGAGTGGAGTCAAACATCCGGGCCCCAATCGCCATGGATGTGGTCTCTTTCGGGAAGCAAGGGGTGGACAAAGCTTTTCCATGTGGCAGTCACTGTTTTAAGTCAGCTTCCACGGGAACAAGTCTTTCTCACGAGACCACACTGATAGACCACGATTGCTAATTGGTCATGAAGGTCATGCAAGCACATCTCATGCAAGCACATCTCTCCAATCCAGGATGGTCAGATTTTCTTTAGAAGAAGGTGAAACGGCTCCAGCCAGAAAAGGATTAGTCAAACAGGACGGATCACCAAGCATGTTTGAAATGGACAGCCTGATGCGCAGTGTGGCCGCTGTCCTTATACTTTCCTTGAGCTGCAGCACTGGCGATCGCCAGTTCTTGGAGGTAAAGCTCACCTCAACACTGTCGCATGGAAGCCATGGAAGATGGCCGGGACGGAAAATGTAGATCATATGAATGGCTAATTGCATGGCCGCCTACTGAAAAAGCACCTGAGCCCCAGCCTTAACCATGACAGATACTGGGACCTGGCAAAAATCATATTAGCTACAACTGCCAATGAATGCAACTTGACATTGAACTGATATGGACGCGACTGAAAAAGAGATGCGTCAGGAATGTCAGAGGAAGTGAGAATAGGGCATGTACCCTTCCGAAAAAAAAAAAGTGAGTGCAATTGCGAGAATAATTTTGCAACAATCCCCCCGCCGTCCGACCGGGACCGTAAACAAATCAATGTCCTTGTACAGTCTGGTAGGTCTTTGGATTCTTTACATTCCCTTTCTTTTGTATTGCGCCTATTGCGGTAGTTGTTCAGGCCATGGCTGGTCCCACAGCCAGGTTGCTCATCTCTTTCAAAGGAATCTTGCCGCCTTTGCCCTGGCTGTGGGATCTCTTACGAAACAAAACATGACATAACCCAATAGAGAATAAATGTGGAATCTCTCCCTTTTTCATTCTCGCTCCCTCTCTCCCTCTTTATATGTATACACGTATATAAATATATAAATACATATATATATATTTATTTATTTACTTTACACAATATATATATAGAGTATAGTATAGATATATATATACAAATGAATATTATATATGTATATATATATATATATGTTCCAGGTTCGGGGAACCCCCCCTCCCCCCTCCATGGTCATGGTTCCACTCTCCCCTCTGTGGATGTGGTCCTGTAGGTAGTATAGGTAGTAAAGAGGTAATATAACTATACTCTTTAGTTCCTATATAAGTAGGTGATATCAGCTTTTAATATTATTCAATGAAAATATGAGGTTCTCCATCCAAACTGGTGCAAATACCATGGAAATATGAGGTTTTGCATCCAAAATGCTGTAAATACCATGGAAATGAAAGATTCTAGGCATCACTGTCTACCTTATGCCTACACAAAGATGGGAACTTGAAGTATGTTCACTTTGGGTGTGCAAACAAACCGGTCTGCAACACCATACATTTAATTCATGGAATATCATAGCACCCCTGAAAGCTGAAACCTTTCTTCAGCATGCACACTCCAGCTGCGTCGCTCCAAGTCTCGTCATGCACAATGACAAATTCCAGATTAAGTAAGAACACAACTGAAAGATACAACTGAAATATGTATAAATCAATGTGTATAAATATATATATATAGAGATATATTCAAATGTAAATATACTCAAACACACACACACGCATATATATATAAATACATACACATAAAAATAAAAATTAATTAGTAATAACAATAACAATATATACAGCATAGGTATTAAGATATGTAAATCGCACATGTAGTGCAGCTAGCCACAACTCGTCCTCACCGTGCCTTGCAGAGGTCCAGAAGAGGCGCCTGGAGCGCCCAGCTCCACGAGAAGGAGATGTTCCTCAGTTCCCACGTCCCAAAAATCTTCAAAAACGGCTACAAAAAGTGGTTACAACATGTTACAAGTACAACTAACTACAACTAAGTACAACTTAATCCCAATACGTTCCAGTCATATCTCAGTTATGAGTTCTAAGCCAGCCCAGTTAGATTGGGATATTTTGGCGGGTATCGGTATGCGGAATACTTGGAAGGGCCCATCATTGCAGCAGTTGCCTGTTAACATTCCATCGCAATATCACCTATGAATCGCCTTTCTTGGGGCTTATCTAACAGCAGTTGAACAACCAATAGCGGAGACTTGGCCACACTGAATCTTAAAAAGCGGAGACTCCATGGCATTCGGCCCATGCGGTTCTTCACCTGGCAGGCTGCACCCCGCTGATCAAGGTCTGGTTAAAAAGTGCCAAAGGATGCCCTGGTAATTACTGTATGTCCATCCTGGAGTAGGATATGCGAAGATGTGAATGAAAATAGGACCAATCCCTGCAAAAGGTGTCGTTGGCTTTGACGTCTTGATGTGCTGAAGGCGTCCCATACAACAATTCTAGATCGTTAACGCCCAATCCCTGTGGGGAGCAAACCCCGCGTCCCTTCAGTTTGAAACTCCTGGCACCAACCAGCAATTTTACTTTCACGCCCAGCTACATGGCAATACTCAGATTCACTTGTGAATCATTGGGAATCACATGGAATCACTTTGGATTCCACGACTAGCTTCGAGGCAGAGATCTCTTCCCTTCAACGTCTCATCCCGTGTTGGTCAACTTATCTCTCGGCTCAAACATCCCATAATCAAATCTGGCCCTTGTGCATGCCCTTTCGGGGAAATCATTTTCTTATATTTTCTTTGCAATTGCATCGGAAAATAATGTTGGTGCAGTTGGTGCAGCCTCAGTTCCCCTTTCTAATTCTTTCTATCCTTTCTGCCCCCGGCCTGGTTGATGGCATTGAGCCTTGCTGCAGCACCTTCCAAGGTCTGTCCGCCGCTCAGGAAGTTCACTCCGCGGATGGCCACGGGCATCGTCTGGGCGCCCAAGATGCACGGCCGAGATCCAGATCTTTGGGAAAGAATTTTGAATGATGGGCTGGCGGCTGTACGGTAGGTATTTCTAGGTTGTAGTGACTTAGTGGGTTGTAGTTTTGAAGTTGGTTCTCATTCTTTTTCATTTGAATCCGAATGGTTGGTCGTCGCGGTTTTACTCAGTGGACCAATGTGGACCAACTTTGTAAAACGTTGATATGTAGGAGCCCTTGAAGCTATTCGGAAAAATTCAGTGAATGTTGGATTGAATGCTTGAGGACCCCTATTGCAAAGAAAAGCGCCCATATTCCGGATCGGCGTTCCATAGACAAGTATTTTCAGATCTTGTGGGTCATGATGCGTGGTAGTATAATGATGTATAATGTAGTATATGTGTTTGGTTCGTTTTGGCCGTTTTACCAAACCCACTGGTTACATCTGGTGGGTCTCATTCCTCGGCAGTTCCGTGCTTTGGGTGGCCGCAACCTGGGATCCCAACGCGCCGCAAGACTGCTGTGTTTGCCATTGCAATCCTGAGGTGTTTAACAAAATATCCAAAGCGGCTGGGTGGAATAGGTGGAATATGCCCCATCTCTAAATTCTTGATTTGCTTGAAGATGTTTACAGTTTGAATTCTTAACCCTCGATCAATCATGAACGAAAGCTGGGGGAGATAGTTATGTTAAATTTGCCAGATCCATCTAGGCAAACCTTCGAAACCTAGCAACATCACACTTCTTCACATGCATTTTCCTGCCAGGTTTTCATTTTTCTTTTTTCAAAAGGAAGTCATCACAGAATACCTGAATTGGTGGCGGTCGTCCGATATACGGCGTGGAAATCTAGATCCACAGTGATCAAACCATCACCCTTCAGCACTGATGTGACTAGTGTGACATGGACTGAGACACAGGTTGACGCTCGGTCAGCAATGATCCAGCAATGATTCAGCAAATGTCAAATGTCAGCAGTGCAATGTTCGGATAAGGTGCTCTTCCACGCTGTAGTCCGTGTCACAGGACCTCAGGTGCCAGCTTGGGCAACTGAAAGGACATTGTTTTTTGGGTCTCCTATGGTCTCCTGTCTCCTGGGCATCCTTTCAACGTTCTATAAACATTCTAAACCAAACCATGAATTGCCAGATGGATCCTGCGGAGACAGTGAGTTCAAATTGATTTCACCGTTTAAGTTTACATGTATTTATAAAAGTATATTTCTATAATTCATGTTAATTCAATCTTTTTTATTCTTTTTGGGCCTGCCCCAGTCTCAACTCGCCAGCCTCTGAAAAACTGATGGGTGCTGATGACCTTCACCAACATGTTTTGGATCTGTCATGGCCATCGTCTAGAGTTGCAACAGCCTAGAAACAACAAAACCATCTGGGTGCCATCAATACAACACAGCATTGGGGGAAGACAAGTGCTGACAGGTTCCAGCACTCGTTGGTATTTATAAAGCTGTTGGTGCCACTTGTTGCCGAGTAGCAGTCCAGGATTCACCAAATTCGTCTTGAGGATCGTCCCTGCGCAGCTGAAAAACAAACTTCTCAAACTTCAAACTCCTTCAGACCTCCAAACTTGAATCACTTGGCATCAAATGATATTACATTGATATTACCATATGTATTCCATATGTTACTATACCGTAGTTGCCAATTGTTTTTGTCGAAACAACACGACAAGCCCTTGGTGAAACAGCAGTCATCCTCTTTCCATGGCTGCCCCTGGTAGTCCCCCGACAGCCCCTGCCTTCCATGTAGACGCCATGCTCCAACATCGCCTTGTAAAGGGTCGACCTGAAAAGCCGAGCGCTTCAAACCCTTAGGTCTTACAACATCGTTGTGACATCATGATGATATAGGTAATATAAGTGCGCAATGGAGTGTGGATACAAATGCATTTGTGTTCGCATGCAAACCCATGCAAAGGACCCACATTATGTTCCTGCACAAGACGCATTCACAAATTGTGGGTCAACAGATTGACGAATCAAAGCACAGCCGTTTGGCGTGCCATCAACCAGGCACACGCCACTTTTTTCAAAGTGTAGGCAATTCAGCTCGGGTATGGATGACTTCCAACGCATGTCTATCACTCAAAAACATCGAAGGAACTTTGGAACCTTGAGCTCAGGAGTCAAAGGTTTCCCGTTAGCAGTATGACCCCAGCCCAGGGTTCAGTGACGAAACGGCTTCAATATCTAGCAGCCCTTGGAAAAGATCCCAGTCCAGAAAACATGTCAAGGGACTGAACTTCGATGTTCACCGCCATGGCTGTCTCCAAGTCATGTTCACCTGCTAGGGGTGGGTGCCTCAACCCAACGGATAGGACCCCTCATCAACTCCAAGAAGAGATCCTGGTTCTTATATCTGTGCGCATGAAACATCAGGTCACTGTATGTCTCAAGAAATTCTCACTGCTTTTGGTTAGTACGTGTTAGTACTATCCCGAATCTCCCTGCTTTCAAGCGAAAACCAACATCCCTTCGAAGCCTTTCATGACGATGTCCGGCTCGACGATGGGAACCAAACCTTCATCTTGACATATCAAGGCCTTGGGGAGGAAATGGCATATTCTTTTGGGGCACAATCGGCCAGAACAAAGAGTGTCAAAACAATGGAACTCATAGAAACAATGGAACCAAACATCGGAAAAGGCAAGAAGTTGAAAGAATTTGTGAGTTCCATTGTTTTGCTGAGAGCCGGCCAATACAATTTGGTACAAAGGGACTGCAGGTGCCGGAAAAAAGTCTTTGGCTGGAAGTTCTTGTGCAAACAAAAAGCATTGGGTGGCTGTGGAATGATTTCTGCTCAGAACTAACGTTGGGGCATCCTCTTTCCTCCATTGTTTTCAGCTGCAACCACAAGGTTTCTTGCATGGCTTTGTGCACTAATCAGTTGAGCAAAAAAAACACAAAGTGGGGCAAAACCAGCAATCCATGGTGAATGACTCTGGTCACAGTGTGCTGTTTCCCGCAACACTTTTTGCTTGTCTGGGGACACCATTTGGTATTCGATGCCTCTCGTGGAAGGATCAGATCAATTCATAGAGATGAACGAAATCCATCGGTGCCTGTTGTTACATTTATATGCTAAAGATTGGGGACCGTATTTTCTGCGAAACTCAACACGCATCCTCACGGACAAACATGTACAAGTAACACCTGTATATAATACATACATATCACATATATATATATATGTATGTATGTGTATATATATATATATGTATGTATGTATGTATGTATATATGTATATATATGTATATATGTGTATATATATATATGTATGTGTATATATGTATATATATATATATGTATGTGTATATATGTATATATATATACATACATATGATATATGATATATGTATATACGTACTTATGTGTTGCGTGTGCGTGTCTACCTGATATTTCACGTTTCGGTGGATTCCTCCTTGACATGTGATGTCATAGTATTTCAATGTATTTCATGTATTCTTGTGAGAAACCCATGATGGCCACACAAGTCGCCATATGTCGCCATGGGCATCCACACATAGCGCGCCAAGTCGTTCATGTTGGCTTCAATGGCAAGGCGGCTTGGGCCCCAGCGCCTGGGACTACGCGTTACTAGCATCATCTATAGCACCATCTAGCATCATCACATCATCACATCATCACATCATCTTTCAGCATCTGAAATATGTGTGGGTCATCAGGGTCGCAGATTCATTTTGGGAGTAGACTGGATAGATGCCGATAGATACTGGATATTTGTATTTTGTATCATCAGAGTCGACAGATTCCCCTCATTGTACAAATGTATGGATTTACTGCTGAACCAATGGTCAGGATTCACAAAATGGTTCGGACCATCATGCATGTTTGCAAACTTGCGGTCCCAAAACCATCTCGACTTTTGATAGTTGATCAATGCTGATGGTATCCCCCAATTGATGAAATTATGATACTTCATGATGAGGTCTCAAGAATTCTCTGACTCTAGAGTCATAAGATTGGATGATAACTTAATAACTCATGCCCCTCATTGCTGGATCTTTGTTCCAAGCCCCAGCCGTTGACTCGGCATCTCGGCATCTTAGCCGCCCACGAGATCTGCAACGGACTTCTCCATTTGGCGAACTTCGCGCCGGCAGCCTGAAGACATTTGGGACACCCAAAACCCCCGAAATTGAATACTCGGCTCCAGATTTGAAGGGTTTGCTTCAGCATGGTTGAGTTTCACCGCTTTGTAAGTTAAATAAACCAGTCAGAAATCAGTACCCATGGTTCACTATGGTTCACTAACGTTTTTTGGTGCTGAAAACTGCATCTTTAACTTGATTGTGAAAAACTGTGGGTCTTGTCTTTAAGCTTTTGAGTCTTAAGATGTTGGCACATACCTAGACATGGACATCCAGACATCTTTTGATCCAACCAAAAAAGCAGGGTTGAAACCAGCGACAAGAAACACCATGTCTCTTCTGGCTTCAGGAGCACGTTAAAATGTATATATATATGCTAGCCCGCCCCCCTAAGATCTACCTTTGATGCTCTTCCAGAGACATGCATGATGAAACTCACTGAATATTTCAATTAATTATGCAGTGAAATTGATCATGTAAATTGTGTAAACCTTTTAAAGAAACAGTATCCCTAGACCCTATGGAACATTCCTCTAAACATGCAGCGTTCCTTTCTTAAGAAGTGGAGTTTTCCGTCAGGAAAGTATTCAGCCTTCGTTCAATCATACAGTATTTCTTTCAAAACACCAGATTCCTACACAATATGCAATGTGATTAACATTGGATATTGATGTGGAAATGTGCAATGGTTGATGCTCATTACAGCATTCCTTGAAAAAATGCTGTTGAAGGAACATGTTGCTTACAGGTGGCAATCTGCCTTGAAGACAAGATAGTCCCTTGAATCAAATAAAAAACACTGTTCTTGCAAAAGAATATAAATGTGGAAAGATGAAATACATCCTTTTGCGGAGCTCAGCCTTCTTCTCATGTTCCTTTTATGCCATATCTTAAATGAAAACTTAATTTTTTCTTATTTTTTTCAAAATAATTGTCCTGAAGACACTATGTCTTTCAACAAATACTACATACACCCAAGTTTTCTATTTCATAGTTATGTTTTGTGTTATTGCATAGTTTTCAATCAAATGGTTGACTCCCTTGTGAAGGAAATTTTGCACATACTTGCACGAACCATGCTTTTAAGGAATACAATAGTCGGTTAAAATGGTTACTTAAAGGATTCTTTTGTGTTGCAATTCTGTCCTCCTTCCATAAACTCCTTTACTCCTTTAACAGAACTTTGCACAGCTGTACTCTCTTTGAAAATAACTCTATATTCCTTTCAAAGAAATGCTGCCCTCCTTTTTAGTTTTGCACAGCTGTAAGTCTCTGTGAAAAATAATTCCGTATCCCTTTCACATAAATGCTGCACTTCTTTATATATATATATATACATATATATACATATATATATATATACATATATATATACATATATATATATATATACATATATACATATATATATACATATATGTATATATATATAATGAGACTGTACAAAATGACGTCACTTTATGCAAGGAATGATGCGCCTTTATGCTAGGAATGTCATATTATTTGACACATACTGCTGTACAAGGCCTATATTATTGGAGAATTTTGCTTTGACAGCAAACCTGAATTTTTATGGTAAAACCTGTTTATTTTTATATATATTTTCTAGTCTTGGCTGTCTGCCTTGTATTTCTACCCATGGTTTTAGGTAATTTTCTGAGAGGGTGCTTGAGCCATGAGAACAGCAAAAAATAGACACCTACCTGGATGGTGTCCAGCCAAATTTTCGAATTATGCAATTAAATCAATTAATATCTTGCTGAACCTGCTGCTGCTACTCTTAAAGGATGTGGGCCACAAATTTTCAGAGAATGTTTTGGTCTGAAGTTCATGCTTTGTTTTTTGGTGTTGCTCCAGTTTCTGTGAAATCTCAAGTCTGACATACATTGCAAGGACCCAATATCAAAGACCCAAGATGTTCAAAAACTTTTCTTGGATCCAGATCCAAGATCCAATATCCACAATATCCAAGTCTGAGGTCCCACCTGCTTTCTTAAAATCTAATGTGCATGTGTATCTATAAAAAGTCTTCCAGGTAGATCTCAAGAGGGGAAGGTACCATGTATATATATATATATATAATATTTAGTTCTTTTGGGATGTTGACATATTTATGTCCTCCCCTCAAACAGAAGTATGCGAATGTATTTTCCAAAAAATCGCTCTGCACAAAGATGATTTATCATTCCAAACCATCAAGATTTGAGGGTCCACTGGTATAAAGAAACTGATCTGTCCAATGTTCAACTAATTTCGACATCGTTGACCCTTTCGTTTCAGATTATCTATACCTAGACGGCTAGACGGAGCCAACGGAGACGCTGCACCTTGTACTCCTTACACCGCTGCGCCAGGGAATCCAAGCCCTGCATCACGGTGTCGCCAGGGCAGCCCGGCAGCTCCTTGGCGATGGTAAGTTTTGGGGTGAACCAGGTTGGCTTATTTTCGACTAAGGTCCAATAAAATGGATAACAAATAACAAATGAAAAACACATATGTGACATCTATTCAACTCACAAGTCCACGGTTTTGGAGAAGCAACTTCTTTATTTATTGAATTATTGCTGGACTTGATACGGTTGCTTGTATGTCGTTGTCTGTTTTCCGTGCATGCCCTGCCCCTCCATGGGAAAAGTAGGGGTCTCCAGAAGTCAATGATTTGCATCCTGAAAACGGTACCCTTTGGTAGAGTAATTTAACATAGCTTGACGAATTGCCCATTTGATCCCATTTGTAGATGATTTACCTATTGATTTTTTGACTTTCCACAGACATGTTGAAGAACCACGGACATGTTGAATTACTAGAGGGTAGACCCATTTCTTTCTGACAAAACCTCTGTGGTTTGTTCAACGTCCTCTGATTGCCATCATTTTCGACTCATTTGCCATCAGTGTTTTGCCAAAGAACATAGACCTTCAGGTGAGGCTTCACACCAGGGATGATGTTTCGCTTCTCCAAGGCTTGAGGAAATGGCACGCCTGGCAGTTGTGGAGCCGTGTGAAGATGAAGCCGAAAGACACGGTGAAACGATGGGAGACTCGGAGACGGTCAGCGACACCCAAAAGTTGGACGGTTGAAACATGTTGAAATATGTTGAAACCACACTCCAGCTATGACCAGAATATACCAAACCAGGATCCAAACATATCCAAACCATACAAGTAAAACGTACTAAATTCATCCCAAATCTGAGGGTTTCTGAACTTCAGCTGGACAGACTCAAATCCCCAGTGGACAGCTGTAAATGGCTGTATAGGATGCCATATCCAGTCCATTTGTTTAAAAGAATTTAACCAGGTTCGATAAGAAACATCTCCACATCTTTTGAGTCACCACCAAAAAGCCGTTCGTGAACAGTGAAACCATGTGAAACCATGTGAAACGGTGAAACTTTTTCTTTGCAACTGCTTTGCAACTGCCCAGTCCATCCAGTCCAACATGGGACGGCACCGTCATCGTCCTTTTGGTACATGGTTTCTGGGTCCAGGATGGCCGCCTCGGCGCGCAAGCGATCCTGGAGGATCCTGTGGGCTATTGTTCCCGCTTGTAGGGCTAAACAATGCTAATTTAGTAATGAACAACATAAACACAGCTTGGAGGGAGATGGTTCATTCGTGTGGATTCCATCCGAATTACAATTTTCTATAATTTTCTGATCTCAAGAACATTTAACCGACCTATGTCTATATCAGGCTGCAACGCCAAGCAGCACTGAGGTAGTTGTTGATGCCCGGCGTGTCATACAACATCTGTCTGTAGATCCGCCTGGATATGGTGCTGCTTGGATTGATTCCTATCCGTCTATCCGGCCACCTGCATTTAGACGGCAAAATCTGTGAGCCGCGATTTGTGCCCAGATTCCTGGCAAGGATTCATGATTTTCCCATGATTCTTCCATGATCTTCCATGTTCTGCAAGGACTTCAGCCAATGATAGATATCGGGTGAGTACATGGTGGCAACTATTGATCCCCCAACGGTGAATGAAGGTTCCTGGTTTGGATGCAAAACATATCCAAAAACGACAAACAAACTGTAGCACCGCAGTTCAAAATGCTTGGTGGGTAGTTTCAAGCTTAAACAAACCATCTTGAACCCAATGCCGTGGCCAATGCCATGGACCTGACATTCTGAATGTTTCGGAACCATGTTGGCCATAGCCATCCATAGCCCTGACCTGTGCTCTTCGGTGTTCTCCACACCGACGTTTTCGAAGCGGCCGCCGATAGTACCGGGGCCCTGTGATGGGCTTGGGGGGAACTCGTAGATGTCCGAGATGTCCAAAAGGGTAGGAATTCGGGTATTTGAAAACATTTCTTTAGCACATTCGCTTCTGATTTTTGAAGGGTCTGTCATGAACGGCACCTCTTTGAAGATAACACCATTTGAATCCGATTGGATCCATGTGGAAAAATAAACTTGTCACTTGACGTGCAAGTGTCAACCTGCACATGAACATCACAGGTATGTCATCTTCCTGGATCGAACTCATTATGACGTTTGGCTCGTCGTGTTCACTTGCTCATCAACAAACCGATTCCCTCATTTTGCATCAACCAGCCTGGCCGCAAACAAGACTTGGGCTCTCAACAGCCAGAACTGGAGTTTTAGTTGTGTCGTATTGTGACTAATTATCCGCAAAAACCCACGGGAAGGATTCCCGCAATCCTTCAATTATTGAAGCGCATTTGTCCCGACTCACCTGCCATGACTTGCCATGACCCACTAAAGTTGGTGCCTCATCGGTCGCTGTGATGCCTTTGCCCGGCGTAGCGATTTTTTGGCAAATGGCCTTGCCGATGGATCGCACTGTCACAATGGATCCTATAATCAAAAGTTGATGATATAGTTTGATAATGTTTGATATCATGAATGCTCTTGAAAGTTGAAGGGTGAAATGGTCCCCCGGCACTATCCAAAGAATGGTTGAACATCTGCTTGTCATTCAATTTCCACATTCAGAAATCTATGTTGATACTCACACACCAGGTTGTATCAAATTGCATCCCATGGCCCATGTGCTGCTGCCTCCAGTTCTTGCTTTCTTTCTGGGCTCAAATGCCTTATCCAACTGTGCAAATCCCAGGTGCACATGGCAGGCGTTGATTTGGATATGGATATATGTCTGACAATGCCGCATAATGGTATGACCAAAAGAAGCTGAACATTTTGTAAAATGCCTGTAGGATAAATCATGATTCACCAAGGGATTTAGGAGAAGAACGAATCAGGTATCAAATGCAAGGAAGAATCGAGTCAGGACCTCATATCCCGAAATAGCTCGCATCATGACAGTGAGAGTTTTTTTCCGATTCTTTGACCCTCATGTCACATCTTGCCAAGTGAAAATTACAAAGCAACCACGAAATATAATAAATATTCATGAATCCTCTGCAAAGAGGGGATCACCACGACTAGAAGCAACACGAAAACCAAATTGACCCTTCAACGCTATATCAATGCTATCCATTTTCAATCATGCTTAATCTTTTCGAAACAAAAGCTTTTCGCCCGGGCATCAACTGGGCATCAGCTGGGCATCCACGTTCTCCAACGTTCTCCAAGTGACTCGCCGCCGTGGCAGCTTCGATGGCAAACTTGTCGTGCCACCTTTGCTGGCGGTCTTCGCCGTGCGAGCGCAATGCGGCGCTCCGTGGCGTTGCGGCGGCCTCCAATGTATTCCAATAATTTCCAATATGTGTCCTATGTGCTTCGACAAATGGAAGGTCCATCTCTCGGAGTTTTGTCATGTCACCTTCAGGACCTCTCAAACTGAAAGAGACCTAAATAGGATAAAATTGATGGTCTTCCTGTCACTTCGTGTTGCTTCCTATTCCTGCAGTCCACCTGCAAGACTAGCTGAACACGTAAGATTTGATGAGTCTTGTTTCCGTGTATGCTTGTGGATCAAAATTATGGACCTCAAACTTGGATACTCAAAAGACGGGTCGTTTAGTACTTGGTGTCAGATACGACCGGTCTTGTCCCATTGGTGCTCCCGCCTCTGCTAGAGCCAATGGCGCAGAGCAACGCCACTGAGGCGGTGGCGGCAGAGCCTGTGCTGCCTGCAACGGGGGGTCGGGGATGGGGATGGGACATGTCTTGGGTCTTGGGGGAAATACAGAAATACAGTGGCACATGTGGCATACATCATGAATATTCATGGATGATATGGGAAACAAATGGAATAGATGGAAATGGATCAGGCACCATTTTCCCTTGGGTTGGTCTCCCATGTCCAGCTGGCAGCCAGGTCGGAACCCTCATTCATAGAGTATTTCAACATTCCAAGCAACGCCAGAAGTCCATATTATGTATACATACATATACCGTCATATACCTATGTGTGTCTATATATATATAATATACACGTATATACCAGTAGTACCGCACAGGGCGGTGGCGGAAGTTTCAAAAATAGGAAACCTATAGGAAAGGTTGGTTGTTGTGAATCAGGGATGGCAGAGCGAATCCACTGATGGATGGAAAGGTGATGCATGTCTCCTCTCTTTCTCTCTCTTTCTCTGACTATCTACCTACCTACCTATCTATTTTCTATGTATCTATCCAGCTATCGATCTATCTATCTATCTCTCTTTCTCTCTCTTTCATCTGTCTATCTGTCTAGCTGTCTACCTGTCTATCTGTCTATCTATCTATCTATCTGTTTGTCTGTCTGTCTATCTGTCTGCCTGTCTATCTATGGTGCAGTGTCATCCAGTCTAATGCAGTGTAGTGTACTGTAGTGTAGTGAAGTGGAGTGTAGTGGACTGTAGTGTAGTGCAGTGTAATGTAGTGTAGTGTAATTTAGCGTAGTGTAAATTAGTGTAGTGGAGTGTAGTTGTAGTTGTAGTTGTAGTGTAGTTGAGGGTAGTGTAGTGTAATGTAGTGAAGTGTAGTGGAAGGTAGTGTAGTGTAGTAGTGTAGCGTAATGTAGTGTAGTGGAGTGTAGTGTAGTGTCATGTACTGTAGTGTAGTGTAATCTAGTGCAGTGGAGTGTAGTGGAATGTAGTTGGGTAGTTGTAGTGTAGTGTAGTGGGATGTAGTGTAGTGTAATGTAGTGTAGTGGAGTGTATTGGAGTGTAGTTGTGTAGGTGTAGTTGTAGTGTTGTGGAGTGTCGTGTAGTGTAATGTAGTGAAGTGTACTGGGAGTAGTGTAGTGTAGCGTAATGTAGTGTAGTGTAGTGGAGTGTAGTGTAGTGTAATGTAATCTAGTGTAGTGTAATTGAGTGTAATTGAGTGCAGTGTAGTGTAGTGTAGTGGAGTGTAGTTGTGTAGTTGCAGTTGTAGTTGTAGTGTAGTGGAGTGTAGTGTAGTGTAATGTAGTGAAGTGTAGTGGAAGGTAGTGTAATGTAGTGCAGTGGTGTCTATCTGCCTGCCTGTCTATCTATCTATCTATCTATCCATCCATCCATCCATCCGAATCCATCCATCTACCGTGTACTGATACGATCCTCATATTCCTAAATCTATCTATCTACCTACCTGTCTATCCCTCTCTCCCTTTCATCTGTCTATCTGTCTAGCTGTCTACCTGTCTATCTGTGTTGCAGTGTCATTCAGTGTAATGTAGTGTGGTGTAGTGTAATTTAGTGTAGTGGAGTGTACTGGAGTGTAATGTACTGTAATGTAGTGTGACTTCGAAGTGTGCTTCGCGCCACAACGGCGTACACTTTTTCAACATCTGAACCTCCAAAAATGGTCCGAACCCCTAGTGTTTTGGACTTTTTGACTTCGAAATGTGCTTCGCGCCACAACGGCGTGCACTTTTTCGACATCTGAACTTCCAAAAGTGGTCCGGAGTTGGTGTGTTTTGTACATTTTGACTTGGAAATGTGCTTCGCGCCACAACGGCGTACACTTTTTCAACATCTGAACCTCCAAAAATGGTCCGAACCCCTAGTGTTTTGGACTTTTTGACTTCGAAATGTGCTTCGCGCCACAACGGCGTGCACTTTTTCGACATCTGAACTTCCAAAAGTGGTCCAGAGTTGGTGTGTTTTGTACATTTTGACTTGGAAATGTGCTTCGCGCCACAACGGCGTGCACTTTTTCGACATCTGAACCTCCAAAAGTGGTCCGGAGTTGGTGTGTTTTGTACATTTTGACTTGGAAATGTGCTTCGCGCCACAACGGCGTGCACTTTTTCAACATCTGAACCTCCAAAAGTGGTCCGGAGTTGTTGTGTTTTGTACATTTTGACTTGGAAATGTGCTTCGCGCCACAACGGCGTGCACTTTTTCAACATCTCAACTTCCAAAAGTGGTCCGGAGCTGAGGTGTTTTGTACATTTTGACTTCGAAATGTGCTTCGCGCCACAACGGCGTGCACTTTTTCGACATCGCAACTTCCAAAATGTGGTCCGACCATGGTGTGCTTTTGTACATTTTGACTTCCAAATGTGCTTCGCGCCACAACGGCGTGCACTTTTCCATCTCTCATCTGGCCAGCTGGCTCCGCACCCGCCGCTTTAGCGACTTTTCGATCCTCCGGAGCCCCAAATCATTGGAAAAACCCAGTGTTTCGCAACTTTCCTACCTTTTCTCGCATCTGCATCTTCTTTCTTCTTACTCTTTCTCTTCTACTCTTCTTTCTTCTAATCTTTCTCTTCTCTCTGCCTCTTCCCTGCTCTGCTTTTCATCTGTCCATATTGTCGGAAGTTTGACTTCTAAACTTCCTTCGATTATGCACCGTATACGCAAAGAGCATTCGAGTTCTGACATGAAACTTCGAACAATTGGTTCCGCATGGTTCCACCACCCCGAAAGGCAACCATTTGATTTCCCATTCCATAATCCATTTTCCTCGAAGCTTCAACTAAATATTCGGCTTTTTGCCGCTTTAAACCATGTATCTTGTGATTTTTGGGACCCATTTTTCATGCCTCGGCCATGGCTCTCATGTGCGGCGTTCGCAACTGCCACTGGGGCAAAGCTGACAGGAATTGGAGCCCTGGCCAAAACCCCGTCAGCATGCCGAAAAGGGTAAACTTCCAGCAAACACATTGGGAAAGGAAATCTTTGGAAAGCTATTCCAAGGCATTCAACTTGATTGTCCTGTGGCTTCAGGATGGGAGTCCGAATTTACAGAAATGTGAGGCGGGCAACCTTTGGCTGAGCACGCTTCAATTTCAACAACCGAGCAACTTGGAACAACTTGGAACAACTTCTTGCAAGTCAACCAGATTTTATCCCACCCGTGCCTTGCTGCTATGAAGGCCTCCATGAGGATAATCGGCTGCTGCGAAAGCGATCGGGTCGAGTCCAACCTTCAGCAGGCGGGTTGAGTGCTTTCCTGTGATGGTGTGGGATGCTTGAACAGAGTTCGACAGCCTTTCCTGCCATCGTGAATCAATTCATGATTGGCTTTAGCAGAACACATCAGAATACAGTGTTTGCCATGTTTGTGCTCCGGCGTGCACCAATCTGGTTGACCCCACCAAATACTCGTGCATGACTGCCTGTACAACTTGGAAATCACTGTCTAGTCTGCTGCTGACACGGAGAAGACTGATGGGAGAAGATGACGGAAACAAAAAACGATCCGTCTTAAAACCATGAGCTATTGCCAACATCTGCTGTCTTGGAAAGATACTCAACTGCCTCAACTGCCTCAACTGCCTTATCCCTTTGCGCATCCGGCCAGGCCCCAGACCTTTCGAAAATGACCCGGCGATTCAACGAGCCGTTGAGCCAAAGTCGAGCCAGTGGAGCTATTGAGATCTGCTGCCGAACCTATTGTGAGCATTGATGAACATCGATGAACGTTGATCAATGAATGCGTGAGGAATCGACTCTATGATCATCTCTCATCCTTTACAGCTTGGTGAACCTACTGGCAACCAAGGCCCAGGATGACGGAAAGCGTTTCAAACGCTTGGAAGTTTGCCGGTAGGTGAATAGAGGGGGGGTGTGGGGGGGGGGCGGCACAGATTTGCAGATTTTGGGGTTCCAAATGGGTGTTGAGGAGGTGCAAAAAACACTGTAAATTACAGTAAAAACTGCTTTTTGGGCAGAATTACAAGGAGTCAAGTTGCTGCCAAAAGTGCGTTTTACCTGCACGAGAGCCAAATTTTGTCGTTTTTGTTGTTTCGAGGGAGGTGGACCTAAAACGTGCTATGTGTAAAAAACACTGCAAATACCATGAAAAACTGGCTTGGAAACATGTTTTCATGCAACTTTTGCACTTTGATGTCCTTTCTTCGTTCTACATAGTCCCAAGACGGCGCAACATAGCCCCAAGATAGGCCAACACAGGGCCAAGATGGCCCAACATAGAAACCAGGAACGCCCAACATACAAGCGGACGCCCTTACTTACCCCATCCACATGGTAGTTACCCCATCCACAAGGCACACCGAGTTACCCCAGGGCAGACAACAGTTACCCCAGGTCCCAAATCCCCAAGGCACAGCGGCTCAGATGCACCATGTTTTGAAGTCGTTGCAAACTTTGAATCATGCCCCTAGCTTGCACTTAGCTATGCCCGGAATCAGAAAATGGGAAGGTGCGACCTGTCAACTTGGAGTCAAAACCCAATGGCACACCGCCAAAAGCAATTCCAGGTCAAAAGCTTAGCCAAGCATTGAAACAGCATCGGCAGCTTGCGTTCTGGTATTTCCAAAAGAAACAAAATAAAGGGCGTCCATCCATTCTCAAAAAAACTAAAATCCCAATGGCACACTTGCAGGAGAGTGGAAGACTTTCACGAAGTCGTTGCAAACTTTGAATCATATCCCTAGCTTGCATTTAGCTATGCCCGGAATCGGAATATGGGAAGGTGCGACCTGTCAACTTGGAGTCAAATCTCAAGGGCACATCGCCAAAAGCAATTCCAGGTCAAAAGCTTAGCCAAGCATTGAAACAGCATCACCCGCTTGCCTTCGGTACCGGAATTACATGTTGCCATCCCAGCCAGAACCACCCCACGTATCCCCACGTCAGATCAAAAACAGCTATATAATGGTGAAAACAATGTGGATAGGTCCGAAAGATCCAAGCAATAAGGTCCGGAAGATGAGGTGGAGGAGGGTGATGTTGTGGAAGATAAGGTGGAGGATGATGATGATGATGTGGAGGATGATGAGGCGGAGGATGACGATTGAGAAGGAGGAAGATAATGATGTTGAGGATGATCATGTTGAGGAGGAGGATGAAAAGGATGATAATTAATGTTGCCGAAGAGGAGGTGGAGGAGGAGGATGTTGCAGAAGATGAGGTGGAGGATGACGATGTTGAGGATGATGATGTCAAGGGGGAGGACGAGGATGATGCTGAGAATGATGATGTGGAGGAGGAGGAAGATGATGATACTGAGGAGGAGGAGGAGGAGGAGGAGGACCGATCACAAGACCCCCGAGTGTGTACACACTGTGTGGGAAACTCACGTTGCTCCAGGGATTGTTAGGGGGCAAATGGATATAACATGATATAACTAATGTTTGCCATGTTAAGAATCCCTGCGTGCCTATGTGTTGTGCTGTAAAGATCATACCAAATAACAAATCATGTAGTAATTCATTCCAGTGGTTGTGTCACTTCTTCCGCATGGCACACCGAGATGAGACAACAAAGTGCTATCTGAGACAACTTAGGGCTTCACCCAGTAGTCCCAAGATGGCCCCAAAATAGGCCAACACAGAGCCAAGATGGCCCAACATTGAACTCAGGAACGCCCAACATAGTCCCAAGATGGGCCAACATAGGCCCAAGACGACCCAACAAAACCCAACATAGTCCCAAGATGGTCCAACATAAACCTAAAATAAAGTGAACATAGGCCCGAAGCAACCCCGGGGAGGCAACATAGTCCCAAGATGGGCCAAAGACAACCCAACAAAACCCAGCATAGGCCCAAGACAACTCAACAAAACCCAACATAGTCCCAACATAGTCCCAAGATGGGCCAACATAGACCCAAAATAAAGTGAACATAGACCCAAAGCAACCCAACAGTAGCTGCAACAAATTAGAAAAGGGGGGAGTGGGGGAGGACGGTGTAGGTGAGTGCGAGGGCCCGGTTTGACGAATGTTTGGCCGCT